CTGACTCATCCTCCAGAGGAGCCTCTTTCACTGCATTTAAAACAGAAGGAGCCTTAGCAGGTAGAAGCTAGGTGATATATTCCCTTCGGTGTCTGCCAGCAATTTTCATTAATGCATAGAACACCCCTGTGCTACAAGACCAGTCATGAAGAGAAGACCAAAGCAACATGTAGGGAGTCAAAAAATGTGGAACAGACAAACAGATTGGGAGATTATCATGAGAAGTTCTGAAATACCCTTGGTGGTTTACTGACAATAGCCAGCTCAGTGTGTGACATCCTAGCAGAGCCATGGCTACTCAGACTAACAGATCCTGAGATGAACAGAAAAGGAACCATTAGGAACAGTCCGAAAACAGTTTTTGCCTTGGTACACTGAACTGGTAAAAATTCATTAGAGGCCCATGTTTAATTCTGGAATCCATATTTCCTAGTAGAAATACAGAGTATGTACAGCCTGAACATTGGTCAAAGGAACCTTAACAGAAGATAAAAGTGGGACAGTAGACAAGGGATCAGGTAGGGGTTGGACAGTTCAGACTCATGAAAGTGCATAACTAGATGAGGCAGTTAAGAGTGAACATAAGTCAGTGGTTCCTCAGCAAAAGCATCATTAACTATTTGGATGGATTATATAAGGAGTTTGCAAATTCAGCATTTCTTGAAGTCTCCAGGACAAAGCAGTATGTTTCTAAAGAAGGCATATTCAAAGGCATATTCCAGTGGAACATCTAAAGTCTCTGTGCTCAGAAAATCAGAGAAAATTATCAAGTCACAACATATGGCCTTAAAGTCTACAAGAACAACATTTTATTATTATAGTATAATTAACACTGTTGGTTATACTTTGACTTTACTATTTGAAAGTTAGTAAGTGCATGCAAATGTCAGAGTGCTCTGAGCAACTTCCCTGATTGTTTGTTTGAAGAGACACTATCCCATGGTTGGCTTTGAAACTTGGCAAGCGTGTGTGATCTGGGAGAGGGGTTGGATGTAGGGTTTCAGTGATGAAATCCAGCTGATGTTCAAAGGGAAGGTCTACTCCCAGAATGCTCTTAGGAGGCCACTATGAAAAAAGACACCATGAATTTTGCTAAGCAATGAAAGTTGTGTGTTATACATTTATGTATTTTTCTCTCTTGTGCAAGTAAATAATACAGGCAAGATCAGAAGTATGGATTTTCACAGCAGTATTTGCCAGCTTTCTATCTTCCTGATGCTCATCATGTGCCTGAGAAAGTAAATCAGGTCTCTCTGTATTCCTGAGAAGTCTGGACCTGAAATCCTTAATGGGGCAAAACTCTTGCTGGTTTGTAGGACTGAATCCTTAGCTGAACTTGCTGAAAACGACATTCACATCATGTCTTCAGCAGAAAGTGAATCCCATTGTGTGCTCATCTGCTACTGTTACCCCATCGCCTACTTTGGAGATAGATTCCTTATCTCGGCCCATTTCTGGGAAGGTGGAGGTCTTCACCCCCCTCTGTCAAAGTTCTCAGTGGGTTTTTTGGAGAAGCCTGCAGGTCTGTGGGCACTACTGAACCCACACTGCCACGGCTGCATCCTTCCTTTTGCGGATGAGGAGCAGAGGTGTTTGCTGCAGCAGTTAGCTGTCTGTTTGTGGGATGGAGAGGTCATCAGCTTGATGCATGGCCAGGATCTATGGGAGGGTCTGCTGCTCTTCTGCAGGGATTTCACCTGCAATATTAAATACAGTTAAATAACCTTTTAAGGCTTCAGTAGCAGGGAAGAATGAAGATACTGGCAGGTGATTTGGCTTACACTGAGCAGCTGGATAGGACCTCAGAATTCACCAGGACTTTTCCTTGTGCCTGAACAGCAAGTTGCAGGTTGGCTGGGAGGTGCATCCCCCCCAGTGTACAGCAGAGCTTTGCTTGCCTTTGGTGGTGAGCACAGGCGTTTCGTGTGCAGCTGTTCCTTTCTGTTATAGTAAAGATTTTGATTCTTCAAAAGGCACCACAAAAAGCTGACACAGAAAAATGTTTCTCTGCGACTTGCCCTAGATTTGGAAACTTTAAAATTTTGTTCACATTTCTGGCTAATACTAGGTAGAAGGAGTATAAGTTGTACGTTATATAAAAATAAATGATCGTAGGAGAGGGAGTACAATAAAATCATTCATTTACTTCAGCTGGAGTGGGAATGCTCACCTGTTTATTGGTGTGTCTAAAGGTCACAAGGGGTATGAGTAGAGAAGAGCTATTGTTCTTTGTGCCAGGCTTATTTGTGCCTTTAATAAATGCCCATTGCAACAAAAGCTGAAGTCCTTAAGGGTAAAATGGGGATATGTAGGTATGACATAATCTGATTATACAGTGTCACCAGTGTGATATCACAGGCAATGACAGGGGGAGTGGTAATTAAAATATTTATTTTTTGTATGCTTTCTATAACTACTCTTTTCCTTATTGCAGTTGGTTTTGCATACTTGTTTTTTCAATGCCCTAATTTTTAACACTGTAGTTTAGTTCTTTCATTGCTTAAAGCTTTTATCAGCTTCTGAGGTGCTTCCAGGTAGCAACTGTATAGATTTCTTCACTGAGAGGGGGTCAGTTACTGGAACAGGCTCCCCAGGGAAGTAGTCACGACACCAAGCTTGCCAGAGTTCAAGGAGCATTTGGACGATGCTCTTTCCATATGATTTAAGTAATTCTGTGAGGAGCAGGGAGTTGGACTCAATGATCCTTATGGGTTCCTGCAAACCTGAGATATTCTATGACAGCTTTGGGAGTTATTTCTATACAAAGTCTCCCATACAAAACACAGCTGTGAGGTCTGCAGAACCTGTCCAGCTAGTGCAGTGATTTTATTGGTGGAAATACATGTATTTTATTTTTAAACAAAAAGTTTTCAAAATAATGGCACATAAAGAAACATCTTAAGAGGGAAGGTCATAAGAAAAATAAGCTGTACAAACCTGCACTTTTTTCTGAATATATTTGATAATAAATGTTTGTGTGCTTCTAAAGAGAAGATGCTTTGGCCATATCTAAAGGAGCTGATTAAATGCAATCCCAAAGCTCACTCAGCTGTGCTGATCCACTGCCTTGTGCCTTGTAGGTAACATTCATTTAGCCTGCAGAAGAGACTCTCAACCCTTGGGAGAGGGAAATGGGCGCTGATCTGGGAAGAAATTGCTACCTTCTCTCTTCTCTGTGTTGAGTTATATTGTGATGTTGATGGGAATGGAAAGGATAAAAAGTAAACTAAAATCATATGGACAACAGTCCTGCATTAGACAGGGTAAACGTAGGGATGGGGTGAAAACCTTATTAGCGGTCTCCTTCCCAGTATTTTTCTGCTAGGTTGCAGAAGGCAGCAGCAAGATGCAAAAGGAGATGCTTGTAGGCTTAACTGATCTGATTTGAAGGAATGAAGTATGATTAAGCTGGATTATGTGCTTTGCACCGTTACTGCGTTTTGTGCCTTGGGAGGTAATTCTGGCAGTAGGCTGGGCTACCCCTATGACTTGGCATCATGTCTGGCAGTTCACAGAGGCCTGGGCAGCAATGCCTCGGGCTGCTGACAGGTATTACATCCTAATGCATATGGCATGCATGGGACTAACTGCACTTTTATGTGACCTGTTCAGCATTGGAGGCAGGAGATGGAGAAATGAGAAGCAAAACACTGGAACAAATAGGTGAGGGTAGGGTAACTGGCCAGACACGAAGGAAAACTGGTTCACATGAAAGGGTGAGGTTGTTTTACTGTACTGAGGGAGCAATAGATAACAGCAAAAGCTGTTCTTTCCTGCAGAGGGGAGGTGGGCAGGGGGCAGGGTTTAGATAGCTATGGAGTGACACTTTTGCTTCATAAATGCACAGTCATATACTGACTTTTTAAACAATCTGCTCATGCAAAGCTCATTGCAAGATCAGGCTTGACCTAAATTACAAACAGGGTGGAAGTGTAAGGGCAATATGGTCATGCAAATGATTTGGCTCAGTTGCAGGTACCTCTTTGACTTTCATGTTAGGTAAAGATAATGCATCGGGAGCAGAGTGCCATTGCATAATTAAGATGGCAGCTTTCATTTTGTCCTGGGAAAGAACAAACAATTACATTTCTCCAGGAGAGTAAATATTCAAGGCTTCCCAGTGTCAGAGTAGCCTGTTTGTTTTTGTTGTGTATCTCTAAAACCACCATGCCTTTTAGGGGAGCTGTGATTACTCAAGATTACAGGACTTGTGATTAGATGAAGGGGGTGTTTGATATGTGGATTTCACCGGGACTCAGACTTCTTACTTTGCATTTAATTATTAGGAGCTGAAGTGTTTGTATACCTGGAGGTCAGGAACATGGGTCTATTCCTGAGGTGGCTGCTGATGCCATGAAGCACTGGTGTGCCCTCAGAGGAATTCGGCTTTAAACAAAAGCAGTCTGTGTATAACACACCCTCTTCAGAACCAGTACCTCATAGCCACCTGTCAAGAATGGAAGAGCTCTGTGATCATGGATGCTTTAAAAGGAAAAACATTTTTGAGAAATATTTATTCATTCCAGTTAAATGAAAATCCTGACTTTGTGTATATGGGCTGTAGGTCATTCATTCTCTTGTTCAGATAGGAACATATCTTGGAGAGCATGTGGTCTGTGCTTGCTTTTCATCTGGTGTGCATTACACAAGTCATTCTTGTATCTTATGTGCATTTCTTCATGTCGTAATATTCTCTAACCTAGCTAAGTCAAAATAATTTATCTTAGATCTGAGTTTTAGATCTGTAGCCCCTGATTTTGTATTTTGTCAGACTTAGTGAAACAAGTGCTTGCCATTTTAGTCTGCCTCAAGATATTCAAGACTTCTTCACAAAATGGGAGAAACTAACAGCTTCTCACCAGGTTTCAGAGCCAGGGTTGTGCATATCAGATAACAGTAAACAGTTGCAGTTCAAACACTTTTTTTATTATTATTATCATTCTGCTAATGTTCATGTACTTATTAGTTAGAAATTTTCATGTTTTCCCTTTTCTCTTCAGATGACACTGGCTGTCCTAGTAGCCAGTCAGTTTCTCCAGTTAAGACTCCTTCTGATGCTGGAAACAGTCCAATCAGTTTTTGCACTGGTAGCGATGGAGACTTCTCCAGGAAGAAATTCAGTCCAGGGACAATGAGTGAAGGGAACCCACAGCTGGCTCGATACAAGAAGGAGACAAAGACAAGCCTTGTAAAGCCAGGTGAGTACAGTTCCTTTTATTTCTTTAATTATACTTTCTAATTGACTACTACATCTACAGGTGTCTACATACACTGTGTTGTCCTGCCTGTGATACCACTAATGCTGATAGTAAATTCAAAAAATAATTGAGTTATTTCTATAGAGCTTCGTGCAAGTTTTGAAAATGCTATCTGTATTAGCTTTTTTATGGAAATATAATTAATTGATGTCTTCACTTTCTTTATGAGACTCGATGGTAATGTCAAATAACAATTGAAATGGATTTTATCCTATTTCATGGTAATTGCACACATATTTCACTGGCCAAAGATAAATGACTTACTATCAAAGCAAAGAATTACAGCCTTCTGATGTTGTTAGATTTATTGTTGGATCCTGCCTAAAAGTTTACGCTGCCAGGCTGTGATAGCTCTGGGGATACAACATGTCAAACCAAGGCAAGATAACGGGTAGCCTACGTTGTGGGAGTTAGGCAGAAGAAGTTCCATGCTACACTGACTGAATCAAGAGCATGTCTCCCATTGCCTCAGGCTAATGGGCCACCTCAGACCACCCACTAAATCAGCACCTGCTTGTCACACATCTAAGACTAAATATCCCAGTGTGTCACTGGCTGCTGTAATTTTAATGAGTAGATATAAAATATTTTTGTGATTCATGTACAGGCAGGTCTTGATTACAAACGGTCAGGATATTTGTGCTATTATTTAATTAATCATGAAGACAGAGTGGGTTTTGACTCTATACAGACCCTGTTGCAGAACTGACATTGTTTATGATCTCAGGTACCTCCTGGCTATACTGTTTCCAGAGTCATTTTACCTCTGAAAGTAACTTAGATGCTTTCATGAGGACCCAGCTCAGATTTACCAGCACCATGTTTAATCCAGAAACAGTAGAGAATCTGTTGCAAACACTCTTTAATGGCTTGGTCATTGAAAGGGCTGATTAAATCTGACTTACCACTATCCCTGCAAGTTCTTCAGCTCATTTCATAACACCATGTTACTTGAGTGTTCACAGTCTCCCATTGCTCTGCATAATGGATGATGACATATTTTTTCAAGGTTTGTTTTCTGTTCCATTAAAAGCAAGGAATCTAATGCAAGCAGAATGCAGTGAATATGTTATATGACTGTCAAATCTGCACCCATGGCTGCCACAACCATTTTGTACGTGAATATGGATGTAGCTTAGCAAAACATGGATAAAGGATTTTGAAATTTTTTTTTCTACTGAAGAGTTCTATACACATGGAAAAGAGTTATGTACTTGTTTCAATAGAATACTTAATTGTTTTCAATTATTACACTTAAATTGACCTATAATATCAAGTTATTAGCCTTTTGCAGTAATAGAAGTCATCTTCATTTTAGTTGATGGCATTATTTCAAGTCTTTGAATGGACTTAGTTTAGGTATTCTTGTAGGTGGGACATTCTGTGTCTGTCAGGACCTCTGCATTGATTCATATCTAAGGTTGGAAACCTCATCTCTAGAATTCAAGCATATCACTCCTGAGATACATCGAAACTCTCAGAGCAGGAACTGGGTCTGATTTACAGAGTGTTTCTAAATTCCTCCTGCCAAATGCGTCACACCTTTTTAGTGGAAAGTTGTCAAAAGCCACATCATAGTCAGCTGACACAGGTGAGGGACATTCCTGAAATGAAGAGCACACCAGGGGCCAGGTGGGGTTCATTTTCCTCACTGTTGGCCACAGGGGTTAGTGTAATTCTCTCCCATTGCTATCTCTTGGCTTCAGGTGAATCCAGTCCCTTACCCATGACCTAATTGAGTATGAATTTCTGGTGGCTCAGTTGGGAAAATCTAGCCTTTATGCAAAGAAGAGGTATTGTCATGTAGCAAAACATGCAGGGAGTAACAAGGGAGCAGTAGGAGAGTGGGACCTGGGAGGAGAATAACAGCCAGTGTGTCCCTGTCATACGTAACCTAGTTCTGCATACAGTTGGGTACCTCAAGCTGCAGCACAAAAAGAGTTGTGCATAGTATCTTTCCCTCTACCAAGAGCCCTCACTGATTTATGGAGATAATCTCTGCTTTTTATGTATTTGAAACGTCTTGAGATAGTGACTACATAGCAGCAGCCAGGCATAAGAGACAAAAATCTAGCCTACCACTATCTTTTAGAGACTGTGTCCTGCACTACATTTTTGTAGGAGAGTCCATCAATCAGTGTACACCTTCAAAATGCCTGTCATTTTGCTGCAAATTTATGTTTCCAGGATTGTTTTCTTGGAACATGCTGAGTCTCAGATGTAACACTCACACAAATATTTAGATAATTCATGAAATGTCAGAGTGGGATAGCACTGAGAATGAACTCTGGGACCTTTTTAGGCTGTTCCCAAGCTCCAGTGCTTTTCTGCTGCTCTAGCAACATCACTTCATCTTTCTTTTCTGTACTTCAAAAGATGAAATACAACATAGCTTTTTTTTCTGTAACAGCCTAAGGCATTGTTATATGGATCTAAGTCATCTTCACCTCTTGAAGTATTAACAAACTAGATTTGGTTATCATTCATAATTTATATTGTTTGCATAGTGAAACATACTTAATCCTGGAATGTATTATCACTGCATTTTGCTATACCTCTGAAAGATTTATAATCATGAAGAAATTATTCATTTGGGATAGTTGGTAATAGTTTTTACTATGCATTAAATCTGAATCACAACAGTGTTATAGGTGAATTGGGCTTGAAATCTGTACCTGCTTTCCCAGAAAGGATGAAGATGACAGGAACTCTAAGGAAAATATATAACATCCACTCCAGGAGAAAGTTAATAAGCTTTTTAATTTCAGGATTTTAAAAGTTGTTCCTTCTTTTGGGTGTGATTCATTTATGCGATATTTAAAGCAATAGAAAATGTATTGCAGAAAATGCCCTCACAAAAAGGCACAAAAAGCTTAATTAACACTAGTCTTAATTTTGTATCAAGATGCTGTGCTGAATTCTACAGTTTCTGTAATTGAATAAACAGGAGCATAAACTCTTGTACATATTCACATTCTTGGTGTACTCCTCCTGCAAAGATCCATCCTGAATTCCTGCAGCTCATGTCCACATCTTGTTGAGAATAGTGGGAACTGTTTTGCTTTCTTTGACAGTCTTTCTCATCTCGTTTTTTAACTTCCGTTACTCTTAGTGCAAGGACTGAAAATCTGGATCTGCAAGCTGCAAAGTACTGATAAACTTCCAAATACATGTGGATAAAGAAGGGAATCTTGGGCAAGGGTTGTGTCAATAACTTTTTAAAAGGCTTGCATGTTTAAAGTAACACAGAGATGCACTTTTTTTTTAAATGTCTGTGAGCATCATAATTTGGGAAGGGCACCTGATCAGCTGGCTGTGTTCAGCATTTCTGGCAAAAGTTCTGGTCTTTATTTTCTTGCTCTTGGTGTCATGGGCACACTTGGGACAGTTTACTGAATGAGCTGTTGAAGCTGTCTCTTAGAACCCATGAAATTGCTGAAGTTTCACATTAAATTATTAAGACTTAAGACAAAACATTAAGACTGTCCCAGACTTGTCCCTTTTGCACCTTCAGGAGTGTGTGGAGTAGAGATGTAAGCACCTCTGCATGAAAGGAGACCTAGGTGAGCCACAGTTAGGGTCAGCTTCCAAACCTTGTAAAGACTGTCTGGCTGTCATTACAGCTCAGTTCAGTAATAACCATTGCAGACTATGCAAAAAAAGTTATTCTTTTTCACTGCTGATAAAACATCTGGCCATCTATTACTGAATCTGGCTAAAATAGTAACATTTTGGATTACAGTGTGGTTGAACTGCTATAGATTATATTTCAAGAGGGGTGGTCATTGAGAATTGAGGCATTAAATTTGTCCTGTTCGAATTAATGGCTGAATTTCAGAGGCTTTCACCACATAGAGCACCTATGGTTTTTGGCCAATGAGCACAAATTTAAAAAAAAACATGAAATTACATCTGAACAAAAGAAACCACTTTTTTTGCTGTGATAGTGGTCAGACCAACTGGCACAGGTTGCTCGGAGAAGTTGTAGAATCTCCATCCATGGTGATATTCAGAACACAGCTGGATGTGGTCCTGGACAGCCTGCTCCAGCTAGGCTTGCTTGAGCAGGGAGTTGGACCAGGTGGTCTCCAGAGGTCCCTTCCACCCCCAGCAATTCTGGGGTATTAGACTTATTTTCCTTTAAATAGGACATCATCCAGATCTGTAGTTAAGTATTTGCAAGACACAATTTGTGCTTTTTCTGCCCTATATTTCATGTCCATGTACTACCATGTCACTTATAACGAGCTCATAGAAATTGAAGTGTAAAAAAAGTAACTTTTAGCAATCACTATTCAATTAACAATGTCATTTAACTTTGAGCAATAGTAAGTAACGTTGAGTCTGCCTGTGTTGCTGCGTGATCTTTTCTGCTTCTTCTGGATGAATTTGTTAAGTCATGAGTGAATGAGCCTTGGGGTATTATGTCCCAGTCTGAATGGATAACTCTTTGAAGGCTTTAGGACTCTTAGGAATTTTAGGAGAGACAGGTGGGGTAGACTGTATCAGCCTTAAATTGGTTGTGAGTACTCAGTAGGTGCAGGTGCTTTTTTTAATCAGTGTTGGAGCTGATGATAGTGAACAAAAAGGAGTCAAGGGAAATGACCCAGGGCAATTAGGAATATTACAGTTAGAGCTAAATGAGCCAAACAGATCAGAGATGAAATGTGTTATCTGCAAATGATATTTAGCTGTTAAAATGTAATGCTCTTCCTGCTGATTGTTTTGTCTGGTATGTGAGGGTCAGATTCCCAGGATGTCTAGGAACCTATTCTTGGGGGCACTCTGTGCAAGCAAGTTGTAGCAGCTAGTTAATCCATTAATGTAAAATGAGCAGGTAAGTTTATTCATATTGCTACTTTACTTCCATAGGTGTCTGTATTCTAAAGGCAGTCACTTTGGTTATTTATAAAACAAAACATAAAAGTTCTGATTTAGAT